GGGGGGGGGGGGGGGGGGAAAGAGGAGGTAGAGGGGAGGGAGGCCGGGGAAGGGGGAGGGAAGGGGGAGGGAAGGGGGCCCAGGGGAAGGGGAGAGAGAGGGGGGCCAGGGGAAGGGGAGAGAGAGGGGGGCCAGGGGAAGGGGAGAGGGGAAGGGGGTGATGTTGAGGAGACGCAGCAAGTGAGGCGAGTGCTGCATACATCACCTCGCATACGGCAGTGCTGCAAACAGCAACGCGCCTCTGTGTGTATATATGTCGGCTTGTATACGTATGTGGTATACCAGGTAGCCTACGCCGCGTGGGTTCTCTTCTGTCCATCAGCGACAACTCCGGCCTCAAGACCCTGTCCGGGCTCAGTGCCCTGACCGACATCGGGGAGCAGCTGCTGGTCGCCAGGAACCCGCAGTTGTACACGCTGGCGGATATGGACTCGAGCCTCAAGCGCGTGGGTGAGTCAGCGTCCTGAGAGCTGGATCTCTGTGTGTGCACGTGCGTCGTAAATAGTAAGTTTTCTGCGCATGCGTGTTTATATGTCAGTGTGGACATGTGCGTGACGGCAGTATGTGCCCCAGCCATGAAGATGGAATGCATGCCTTGGTATTGGTGGCAACGCGTCCCCTCTCCCCCCTTCTCCCCCCTTCTCCCCCCTTCTCCCCCCCTCTCCCCCCCTCTCCCCTTTCCTGGCATTCCGGGGAAGTGTTGACCACTCTCCTCCCGCATTGGGGCCCAGCTGGCTTTTTTGATAAGGTCCTTCAGGCCCGCTTAAAAAGGGGTTCCCGCGGGAGGGGTTTCCTGGTGGGCCCCCCGTATAGATCGGTAATATGGGATAGCTGTATTACTGCCCCACCACCGCACATCACCTCATGCGGGGTCGCCCACGGGCCCCTCCCCACCAGCACACACCCTCCCCACACAGTCCCCGGGCTGCCCCGGGGCTATTGGCTTGCTCTAGGTATTATGAGGCAGTTCATGTCGTCTCTAGCCTCTAGCAGTCACTCCCTCGTCCTCCTGGCCCTCCTTTCATAGGTGGCGGGGGTATTGAGCTGCTGGAAAACCCCGCCCTCACCTCCCTGGGCCGTCTGCCGACCACCCTGGAGCGAGTGTACGGCCCGGTGGTGATCAAGGGACCGGTGGCCGGGGAGGATGTGGCCGCGGTTCAAGCAAAATCGAGCAGTGGCGGCGGCGGCGGTTCCTCGTCGCAGGGGAAGTGATGGGGGTGCTAGGGTAGGAGTGAGGGGATTTGCTGCCGCTGCGGGGTAAAGGATAATTCGGTCGTCTTTGCGTGAAGGACGGACTGAAGAGGGGAGGGGAGGGGAACTGTCTGAACATCTTCTAAATTGAAACTCTGCGCGCGATGCCGAGCAGCACGTCTATTTGGTGAGTCGCGCGTTATAGTTAAAACACCTAGGTGGTGTTGGTGTTGTTGTTGGCCGTGGTGATTTGGATTTCATGGTGGGATGAGGTGGACTGCATTGCACTGCGCTGGGGTAGGGTAGGGTAAGGCATCAGCAGGTGCACCAGGTGGGGGTGTGAAGGACGAGGGGGGGGCCCGAGATTGTATGTGTGTCTTTCAATGGTTTTCGACTGCGTCGATGGTCACCGATGTATGATGTGTGAAACAGGGGGATGTATCTTCGCCCGTGGCAGCTACACGGCAAACCCTGCCTTCCCCGGTATTTTGAGGCACCCTCATCCAGTCACCCTATTCAACTTCTCAGTGGATCGCTCAGGTTCCGCACCCACCACCAGTATCCAACGGAATCTGCCGGGTCGACAGCGACCCAACTCCGTTCCTGGTCGGCTCGTAGGTTACCTTTAACCCAGGTTACCACCGTCCCTTCATTAGAGCCGCAATGCCTTCCGCCATCGGAAGGACTTTTGACCCTAACGGGTATCGATCCCGGGATGTCCCGGGGGCAATGGTCGCGCGGTACCAGTTGTGCCAAGCCCTTATATGTATGCTGTCTCCTGGTTGTCGCATTTTACGATGTAGCAAATTGCTGCATAGGTAATAGTTGAAGCAAGATACAAAAGACTGTTTGAAGGCTTAGGAGCTCTTTCGCTTTTCCCTGGACGGCCGGCTGCAAGGGCGGGATTAAGGAAAAGAAGTTACCTCCAAAACCCGAGTCTAGACAAAGGAGGCGGAGATTGCAAAGCCAAACGAATTAAAACAGAAAAGACATGAAGTTATAAACACGATACGACCTTTACAGGATGCAGCCGCAACATAGTAGCAATGTCCCAACATCATCAAGAATCCAGCAGGAAACTAGATATAAGACCGTACACATCACCGAGAAGTATCAAACCGCTTCGTCCCGGCGGGCGATTGGTGTAGGACAGGCAAGTCGGAAACCTCCTGAGTGAACTGGTTGCTAAACTTCGCCAGGCTCGGTGATAAGCAGAGTACTGCTCGGCGGCTGGTTTTGATTGTTCATATTGGACCAAGCACCGGTGAGGACATCTGAGAACTGACCGGCGCAGGACGGGGCAAAACGGGAACAGTAACGTGGTCATCAATCAGGCTCAGGTTGACGTCACCAGAGTAAGAAATTAAACTCATTTATTCACTAACTCATGAAGGGATCGCTGCTGGGTGGTGATCGGCATCGTGTAGGAGATGTGCCCGGTTGTGAGCTGCCAAATACAGAAGTACGGAGGGCCCTATGCCAACCACGGATATCACACCAGGACGAGACAGTCCGAGTTATGGCCATTCCAGCACAGAATGCAGAGTCAGACAACAGGTACCAACTAAGCTTTATTAAGACGGATTACAGAAAATAGACGACGAGAAAGACTAGAAAAAGTCGAGGTCGAAATCGCTTGACGAGTGATGTTAGATTGCCTTTATCTTTGGTTTTGCCTACAATAGAACGCCGTCTCTTATATATGAGAAGACAACAACAACGGCGACGCGCAGATCGACATTGCGGGCCAACGGCATCCATGCAAGTAAGTGAAGCGCGCGGGCACTGCGCGGGTGGTTGGGTTGGTTCGGCCGTGAGTAGAGGCACCTGAATAGTGGGTTCTGTTGCTTGTCGGTGGGCGGGGGAATTCTAGTTGGGTTCGCGAGGTCCGTAGGTCAGTAGGAAAGGTGGTTTTATCTCGGCCTCCCGCAGTTGGCGAGGCTTTAGCTGGGAGTCCGTTTTGCCGGGAGTAGCTCTTGGTTGGCAAGAGGTTGCGAGGGGCTTGATCGGCGCCCTTTGTCTTGAGTTCGCCTGATTACC